ATGTTGTTTCCCCTGCATTCAATTGGTCGCTTTCATTACCACATACAACATACACCGCTTCCATTACCACATACAACATACACCGCTTCCATTACCACATACAACATACACCGCTTCCATTACCACATACAACATACACCGCTTCCATTACCACATACAACATACACCGCTTCCATTACCACATACAACATACACCGCTTCCATTACCACATACAACATACCCGGCACTTTAAAACTTTCCGTTTCTCACATCAGTGGTGATGTGTACATGGTGATGTGTACGTGGTGATGTGTACATCATTACTCCCGCATCACGCCAGTAGTGATGATGTATTGATCCTCACATCACAACAGTATCTGATGTGACATCCTAAATGAATTTTTACTTCATCAGCCACTTACATCCACCATTCTTACAAGCGTTAAGATATATGGGTCTTCCATACAATCTTGTAAGCATGTAGGTTTTCCATACAATCTTGTAAGCATGTAGGTTTTCCATACAATCTTGTAAGCATGTAGGTTTTCCATACAATCTCGTAGCATGTAGGTTTTCCATACAATCGTGTAGCATGTAGGTTTTCCATACAATCTTGTAAGCATGCAGGTCTTCCATACAATCTTGTAGCATGTAGGTCTTCCATACAATCTTGTAGCATGTAGGTCTTCCATACAATCTTGTAGCATGTAGGTCTGCCATACAATCTTGTAGCATGTAGGTCTTCCATACAATCTTGTAGCATGTAGGTCTTCCACAGACTATTGCAATTTAAGTTCCGTTTAAGTAAACCTTCTTTTAGTGGAGAAACTTTCTGTGGTTTAACTGTCCAGGTAAAAAATTGACCCTGACAGCGAGAATTGATGTGCTGTATTGACAGCGAGAATTGATGTGCTGTATTGACAGCGAGAATTGATGTGCTGTATTGACAGCGAGAATTGATGTGCTGTATTGACAGCGAGAATTGATGTGCTGTATTGACAGCGAGAATTGATGTGCTGTATTGACAGCGAGAATTGATGTGCTGTATTGACAGCGAGAATTGATGCGCTGTATTGACAGCGAGAATTAATGTGCTGTATTGACAGCGAGAATTGATGTGCTGTATTGACAGCGAGAATTGATGTGCTGTATTGACCGCGAGAATTGATGTGCTGTATTGATCAATAAAGACTCCAGTTGGCCAGGACAAAGAGTCCAATGCAAATGGCGACATTGTAGAAGCTAATGGTGGAAATTTAAACAGCTGGGGCTGACCGCCATACAGGGTGGCCACAGTACAGGGTGGCCACAATACAGGGTGGCCACAATACAGGGTGGCCAATTATTGTCTGACAGGGTGACATGTTTTATTACAGGAACCAAAAAAGCTTTAAAAACTCTGGACACGATGAGCTACTCACTGTTAAAAACTCTGGACACGATGAGCTACTCACTGTTAAAAACTCTGGACACGATGAGCTACTCACTGTTAAAAACTCTGGACACGATGAGCTACTCACTGTTAAAAACTCTGGACACGATGAGCTACTCACTGTTAAAAACTCTGGACACGATGAGCTACTCACTGTTAAAAACTCTGGACACGATGAGCTACTCACTGTTAAAAACTCTGGACACGATGAGCTACTCACTGTTAAAATTCTGGACACGATGAGCTACTCACTGTTAAAAACTCTGGACACGATGAGCTACTCACTGTTAAAAACTCTGGACACGATGAGCTACTCACTGTTAAAAACTCTGGACACGATGAGCTACTCACTGTTAAAAACTCTGGACACGATGAGCTACTCACTGTTAAAAACTCTGGACACGATGAGCTACTCACTGTTAAAAACTCTGGACACGATGAGCTACTCTCGCTGTCTTATTTAACCTCGTCACTCTCGGCGACTCGTCCAGTCAGTTAATGGAGTAGCCTCGTTCAGGAAGGCCAGACTAAATAAATTTACAAAATGGCCAGACTAAATAACTTTACAAAATGGCCAGACTAAATAAAGTGACAAACTGGCCAATCTAAGTAACTCACAAAATGGCCAGACTACATAAAGTGACAAAATGGCTCGTCTAAATAAAGCGACAAGCATGCTGCCCCCCCCCCCCCCCCCCTTCTTCCTAAACTGTTTTTGTCCTCTAACACTCTAACACAACTAGCCAACATGTCCATTAGAGAAAAGTGTTCCCGGGAGGGGGTGAGAAGGCAAAGAAAAAATGGCAGTCGTGTAACCAGGAGATGTCAGCGGAAACTTTGATGGCAAAAAATATGTTTACAAGTCAAAAAAATAATAATCACGTGATATTTTTTAACATGTCTGATCGGGAGTTACACGTAGGACTAGAGTGTGACGCCACTCCCACACGTAGGACTAGAGTGACGTCACTCCCACACGTAGGACTAGAGTGTGACGCCACCCCCACACGTAGGACTAGAGTGTGACGTCACTCCCACACGTAGGACTAGAGTGTGACGCCACTCCCACACGTAGGAGCAGAGTGTGACGCCACCCCCACACGTAGGACTAGAGTGTGACGCTACTCCCACACGTAGGACTAGAGTGTGACGCCACTTCCACAAGAGTCACCGGGTGAGATTTGAGGGGGTCGGGAGTCACCTATTATAAGAACTGTAAGCCTTACTGTTTTCCAATCAGGCCACAATCACTGAAACCATCCAGATATAATGAAACAACCCACATTCACTTAAAAACAACCCACAATCACTGAAACCACCCACATTCACTTAAAAACAACCCACAATCATTGAAACCACCCACATTCACTGAAACCACCCACATTCACTTAAAAACAACCCACAATCACTAAAACCACCCACATTCACTTAAAAACAACCCACAATCACTGAAACCACCCACATTCACTTAAAAACAACCCACAATCACTGAAACCACCCAAAATCACTGAAACCACCCACATTCACTTAAAAACAACCCACAATCATTGAAACCACCCACAATCACTGAAACCACCCACATTCACTTAAAAACAACCCACAATCACTGAAACCACCTAAAATCACTGAAACCACCCACATTCACTTAAAAAACAAACCCACAATCATTGAAACCACCCAAAATCACTGCAACCACCCACAATCATTGAAACCACCCACAATCACTGAAACCACCCACATTCACTTAAAAACAACCCACAATCACTGAAACCACCCAAAATCACTGAAACCACCCACATTCACTTAAAAAACAAACCCACAATCATTGAAACCACCCAAAATCACTGCAACCACCCACAATCATTGAAACCACCCACAATCACTGCAACCACCCACAATCACTGAAACCACCCACATTCACTTAAAAAACAAACCCACAATCATTGAAGCCACCCACAATCACTGCAACCACCCACAATCATTGAAACTACCCACAATCACTGCAACCACCCACAATCATTGAAACCACCCACATTTACTTAAAAACAACCCACAATCATTGAAACCACCCACATTCACTGAAACCACCCACATTCACTTAAAAACAACCCCCAATCACTAAAACCACCCACATTCACTGAAACCACCCACATTCACTTAAAAACAACCCACAATCATTGAAACCACCCACAATCACTGAAACCACCCACATTCACTTAAAAACAACCCACAATCACTGAAACCACCCAAAATCACTGAAACCACCCACATTCACTTAAAAAACAAACCCACAATCATTGAAACCACCCAAAATCACTGCAACCACCCACAATCATTGAAACCACCCACAATCACTGAAACCACCCACATTCACTTAAAAACAACCCACAATCACTGAAACCACCCAAAATCACTGAAACCACCCACATTCACTTAAAAAACAAACCCACAATCATTGAAACCACCCAAAATCACTGCAACCACCCACAATCATTGAAACCACCCACAATCACTGCAACCACCCACAATCACTGAAACCACCCACATTCACTTAAAAAACAAACCCACAATCATTGAAGCCACCCACAATCACTGCAACCACCCACAATCATTGAAACTACCCACAATCACTGAAACCACCCACAATCACTGAAACCACCCACATTCACTTAAAAACCACCCACAATCACTGAAACCACCCACAATCACTGAAACCACCCACATTCACTTAAAAACCACCCACAATCATTGAAACCACCCACAATCACCGAAACCACCCACATTCACTTAAAAAACAAACCCACAATCATTGAAACCACCCACAATCACTGCAACCACCCACAATCATTGAAACTACCCACAATCATTGAAACCACCCACAATCATTGAAACCACCCACAATCACTGAAACCACCCACATTCACTTAAAAACCACCCACAATCACTGAAACCACCCACAATCATTGAAACCACCCACAATCACTTAAAAACAACCCACAATCACTGAAACCACCCACATTCACTTAAAAACCACCCACAATCACTGAATCCACCCACAATCACTGAAACCACCCACATTCCCTTAAAAACCACCCACAATCACTGAAACCACCCACAATCACTCGATGTAAACTGCGGTAAACAAAACGAGGCGAGAACAGGATGCGCCATGTGGGCGGTATCACCAGGGAGAGAACAAAAATACCAGGGGAGTGCGAGAAGTTGTGAGAGATTTTATTTATTGTCTGAGTGGCTGCTCCAGGTGGGATTCTCTGCCCCCTCCCCAGCCCCCTCGCCCAACCCCCTCGCCTGTTCCAGGTGAGAAATAGTGATGAGCTCTCAAATGATAAATGTAAATAAAATAAAGGGCGAGATACTATCGCACCTAAAGCAATGCTATATGCACATTTGGGATATATATATATATATATATATATATATATATATATATATATATATATATATATATATATATATATATATATATATATATATATATATATATATATATATATATATATATATATATATATATATATATATATATATATATATATATATATATATCTCCATCTGATCTTGTTCCAGGTGATGTAGTCGTCTCGACAGACTGAGCTGAGATGGATTTGAACCAGGAGACCACCATGAACACAACTGGCAACAGCACCCAGTTCGTGTACACTGGCGCCACCATCGTCTCCCCCATCCTGATGTGTCTGGCTGGACTGGTAAGTAGCGGTCAATTGGTCATGTGTGTCTGGTGAGTCAAGGTCAATTGGTCATGTGTGTCTGGTCAGTCAAGGTCAATTGGTCATGTGTGTCTGGTGACGTCAAGGTCAATTGGTCATGTGTGTCTGGTGACGTCAAGGTCAATTGGTCATGTGTGTCTGGTGAGTCAAGGTCAATTGGTCATGTGTGTCTGGTGACGTCAAGGTCAATTGGTCATGTGTGTCTGGTGAGTCAAGGTCAATTGGTCATGTGTGTCTGGTGAGTCAAGGTCAATTGGTCATGTGTGTCTGGTGACGTCACATTCCTCTCGCCCCTCCTCCCCACCAGCCCCTCCCCCTCACCTATTTGTGTTACCTGCTAACCACCGTGTCTACTAATCCAATTACCTGACCCAAGTTGTTGTGCTGTGTTTTTTATGTTTACCCAAAAAATGCTGACGTCACAGGGCGTACAGCCACAAGATTTAGGCAAAATGTCAAAAAGGTTAATGACCCTAATCAAACGTTTTTCATCGGCTGTACATTCTGTGATTGTAATCAATTAAATTAAACTCATCGAGTCATTATTTTTTTAAATTTAACAAACTGGCATAAATATCTGATTGATGTAAATATATGACTGATTTGAATATCTGACTGATGTAAATATATGACTGATGTAAATATATGACTGATGTAAATATATGACTGATGTAAATATATGACTGATGTAAATATATGACTGATTTGAATATCTGACTGATGTAAATATATGACTGATTTGAATATCTGACTGATGTAAATATATGACTGATTTGAATATCTGACTGATGTAAATATATGACTGATGTGAATATATGACTGATGTAAATATATGACTGATTTGAATATCTGACTGATGTAACAGTCTAGATTTTAAAATTATTGGCATTCAGACCGCTTCCAGTCTCTCAAGAACCCCGTCACCCCACCAAACACCCCGTCACCCCACCAAACACCCCGTCACATCACCAAACGCCCCACCGCCCCACTATCGTAACACCCCACTAACCAACCACCTTAACACCCCACCACCCCACTATCGTAACACCCCACTAACCAACCACCTTAACGCCCCACCACCCCACTATCGTAACACCCCACTAACCAACCACCTTAACACCCCACCACCCCACTATCGTAACACCCCACTAACCAACCACCTTAACACCCCACCACCCCACTATCGTAACACCCCACTAACCAACCACCTTAACACCCCACCACCCCACTATCGTAACACCCCACTAACCAACCACCTTAACACCCCACCACCCCACTATCGTAACACCCCACTAACCAACCACCTTAACACCCCATCACCCCACACCAGTAATACCCCAGCCAAAAAAACGCAGATGACGTAGGCTACTGTTCCTAATGGAGTTTACTATCCTATAACAAAACTAAGCTTTGCTGTCTTTTTTATTTAACATCACATCATTTGTTTAAAATACAACACGTTTGTAAAAACCTGTAGAGCCTGTTGGTTATAGTTAAAAGTGGTCCCTTATGAGCTTTGACCCAGTGCGTAGAAAAAAAGTATACACAGTCAGAAATGACACCACACATGACATGACACCACACATCGTGTTGACTGTGACCAAGGTTAATGTATGCAAATATATGCAAGACAAAGTATAATTGCTCAGACTTGCCCATCTAGGTGTCAAAGGTAGACTTTATGGTGTTTAGGTGTCAAAGGTAGACTTCATGGTGTTTAGGTGTCAAAGGTAGACTTTATGGTGTTTAGGTGTCAAAGGTAGACTTTATGGTGTTTTTGTACACTTCCGGTTTCATACCCTTTCTGTCGAGATTTTTTTTCTTGGCACTGTGTTGAACTTCCGGTGTAAACTTGAAGGCCGTGTCCTTGCCGAACCCATTTCCTGTACAATAACGCATGCGCAGTGGGTGCAGCGACCGAATATCGATCTCAAGTATCGAGTCCTGGGCAATAAAAAGTGAATTATGAAAACAAGGGGAGATAATCTACTGGCCACTACTTGACGGAGTTTTTCTGTTGATATAGTGGCCAGCGGAAATGGCGCGCTGGGCTTTTTATAGCTCTGATAATCGAATTGGAAATCCCCCCCCCCCCCCCCCCCCCAGGTTGTGTGACGTTTTACTAAATCTCGGCTGTAGGCGGCACTTTATTGCCGTCATGTTTGCCGTAGGTAGAAAAGCAAACGACCAACGTTTTTTGAACCCACACAATCTGCTAGCCTGGCATCGCCCCCCCCCCACACGTAACTACCGCCCCCCCCCCCCCCACACGTAACTACCGCCCCCCCCCCACCTCATAGACACACACAGACAAACCACACACATTGTCTTAAGTAGGTTACATGGTTTTTTTCCAGTACCTAATTTTTAACATAAACTTAACAGGGTTGGGATTAACAGAACAGCAACCATCACAGCATCGTACAGCTCCCAATTAACTACTTACAGCTCCCAATAAACTAGCTTACAGCTCCCAATAAACTAACCTACAGCTCCCAATTAACTATCTACAGCTCCCAATAAATTTACTTACAGCTCCCAATAAACTATCTACAGCTCCCAATAAACTAACTACAGCTCCCAATAAACTAACCTACAGCTCCCAATAAACTAACTACAGCTCCCAATCAACTAACTACAGCTCCCAATAAACTAACTACAGCTCCCAATCAACTAACTACAGCTCCCAATAAACTAACTTACAGCTTCCAAATAACTTGGAGCTGTACACGTGTAAACAGAGTTTCTCCACGGTCAAATTTTACGACAGTAATTACAGGGTTAGTTAACAGCTTTCATCACACTGAGGGGGGGGGGGGGAACGTTTGCACTAGCTGATTGTCTCGCTAAGTCGGTCGTGGTGTGGGTGGTGGAGATGGTGTGTGAGTGGTGGTGGTGTGTGAGGTGGTGAGTGAGTGGTGGGGATGTTGGTGGTGTGAGTGGTGGGGATGTTGGTGGTGGTGGTGTGAGTGGTAGTAGTGTGAGTGGTGGAGATGGTGGTGGTGGTGTGTGAGTGGTGGGGATGGTGGTGGTGGGGATGGTGGTGGTGGTGTGTGAGTGATGGTGGTGGTGTGTGTGTGTGTGTGGTGATGTGGTTTGAGATGGTGGTGGTGTGAGTTGTGGGGTGGTGATGATGGTGCTAGTTGGTGATGCAGGTCAGTGCTGCTGGTGTATTGATTCACTGACTTCGTGATGCTACCAGACTGGATTCTGTTTTTATAACTCGCTGTAAAACATTTTCATTCAATGTTTCCTATAAACATTTTTTTTGGTCAAGCGTTTTTTTTAAAACATCGGCCTAATCGCACGATAATTTGTGGTTTAGCCGTGGGACTGTTCTGACAACTATTCGGGTACTCGCACGTGACCTAGTTTGTGGAGACCCCGTTAGACCCGGATGTACCATAATATTTTGGGTTACCTGGACAGGAGCGGATTATCTCAACCGATTAGCCGGCGCTACCCCATCCCATAGCACAAACCCTTCATTTCCTACCCCAGAAATTAGCACTCATTAACTCTTCCTTCCAGCCACGCGCTAATTATAGTTTGCCCTGAAGGTGAAGGTCGGAAACAGCAGACGATGCTCGAGTTAAACGAGTTAAAGTTCTTGAGCCGCGGCAGACGGCAGCTGGGTTAGGGGAGAAGACTGTTAGGTGGGGAATTTTAACATTTTAACCATGTGAAAATAGGTTTGGTATTTGGACGGATGATGAAAGGAAGGCATTATCCGAGGAACAGATTAGTCAATGAACAGATTAGTCAGGCAACAGATTAGTCAGGGAACAGATTAATCGAGGAAACTGTTATTAGAGGGACAAATTAGTCGTAAATCAAATTAGAATAGGAACTGATTAGTCTAGGTGCAAATTTGTCGTGGAACAAATTAGTCGAGGAACGCATAAGTCAAACAATCGACGTTTAGTCAAGCCAAGACAAATAGGTCTAAAATAGATAAACCAAATACCTTTACAGTAAAAACTACTGGCTGACTGCCGAATGTTCTAAAACTTTTGTCTGGCAAAAATGTTGCTGGCTTGAAATATTTAAGACAGAAATCTTGTGATGTTGTGCTGTGATGTAAGTCTAGTTGTGATGTGGGTCTAGTTGTGATGTGGGTCTAGTTGTGGTGTGGGTCTAGTTGTGATGTGGGTCTAGTTGTGATGTGGGTCTAGTTGTGATGTGGGTCTAGTTGTGATGTGGGTCTACTTGTGATGTGGGTCTAGTTGTGATGTGGGTCTACTTGTGATGTGGGTCTAGTTGTGATGTGGGTCTAGTTGTGATGTTGTGGTGTGATGTGGGTCTAGTTGTGATGTGGGGCTAGTTGTGATGTGGGTCTAGTTGTGATGTGGGTCTAGTTGTGATGTGGGTCTAGTTGTGATGTGGGTCTAGTTGTGATGTGGGTCTAGTTGTGATGTGGGTCTAGTTGTGATGTGGGTCTAGTTGTGATGTGGGTCTAGTTGTGATGTGGGTCTAGTTGTGATGTGGGGCTAGTTGTGATGTGGGGCTAGTTGTGATGTGGGTCTAGTTGTGATGTTGTGGTGTGATGTGGGTCTAGTTGTGATGTGGGTCTAGTTGTGATGTGGGTCTACTTGTGATGTGGGTCTAGTTGTGATGTGGGTCTAGTTGTGATGTGGGTCTAGTTGTGATGTGGGTCTAGTTGTGATGTGGGTCTAGTTGTGATGTGGGTCTAGTTGTGATGTGGGTCTAGTTGTGATGTGGGTCTAGTTGTGATGTGGGTCTAGTTGTGATGTGGGTCTAGTTGTGATGTGGGTCTAGTTGTGATGTGGGGCTAGTTGTGATGTGGGGCTAGTTGTGATGTGGGTCTAGTTGTGATGTGGGTCTAGTTGTGATGTGGGTCTAGTTGTGATATGGGTCTAGTTGTGATGTGGGTCTAGTTGTGATGTGGGTCTAGTTGTGATGTGGGTCTAGTTGTGATGTGGGTCTAGTTGTGATGTGGGTCTAGTTGTGATGTGGGTCTAGTTGTGATGTTGTGGTGTGATGTGGGTCTAGTTGTGATGTGGGTCTAGTTGTGATGTGGGTCTAGTTGTGATGTGGGTCTAGTTGTGATGTGGGTCTAGTTGTGATGTGTGTCTAGTTGTGATGTTGTGGTGTGATGTGGGTCTAGTTGTGATGTGGGTCTAGTTGTGATGTGGGTCTAGTTGTGATGTGGGTCTAGTTGTGATGTGGGTCTAGTTGTGATGTGGGTCTAGTTGTGATGTGGGTCTAGTTGTGATGTGGGTCTAGTTGTGATGTGGGTCTAGTTGTGATGTGGGTCTAGTTGTGATGTGGGGCTAGTTGTGATGTGGGGCTAGTTGTGATGTGGGTCTAGTTGTGATGTGGGGCTAGTTGTGATGTGGGGCTAGTTGTGATGTGGGGCTAGTTGTGATGTGGGGCTAGTTGTGATGTGGGGCTAGTTGTGATGTGGGGCTAGTTGTGATGTGGGGCTAGTTGTGATGTGGGGCTAGTTGTGATGTGGGGCTAGTTGTGATGTGGGGCTAGTTGTGATGTGGGGCTAGTTGTGATGTGGGGCTAGTTGTGATGTGGGGCTAGTTGTGATGTGGGGCTAGTTGTGATGTGGGGCTAGTTGTGATGTGGGGCTAGTTGTGATGTGGGGCTAGTTGTGATGTGGGGCTAGTTGTGATGTGGGGCTAGTTGTGATGTGGGGCTAGTTGTGATGTGGGGCTAGTTGTGATGTGGGGCTAGTTGTGATGTGGGGCTAGTTGTGATGTTGTGGTGTGATGTGGGTCTAGTTGTGATGTGGGTCTAGTTGTGATGTGGGGCTAGTTAAGATGTGGGGCTAGTTGTGATGTGGGGCTAGTTGTGATGTGGGGCTAGTTGTGATGTGGGTCTAGTTGTGATGTGGGGCTAGTTAAGATGTGGGGCTAGTTGTGATGTGGGGCTAGTTGTGATGTGGGGCTAGTTAAGATGTGGGGCTTCATACAAACAATGGTTGGGGTCCACTCACATACACGCATCTGCATTGGACAAATATGCAAATAAGGCTAAAAATAAGCGCATGGCCGTTGTATGCTAAAACTGCCATTAAACAAGTCACGTGGTTTAAAATCTCTTAGGATTTGGAGTCATGGGGTAGTCTTAGAGAAATCAATTTCGTCATGAGACATCCTAGCGTGAAATATGGTAATTAAATTAACCTGATTGACAGCGCATGACAACAATAATAGTTGATTACATGGGTCATCATGGGTCGCCATAATAGTTGATTACATGGGTCATCATGAGTCGCCATAATAGTTGATTACATGGGTCAACATGGGTCGCCATATAAGTTGATTACATGGGTCATCATGGGTCGCCATAATAGTTGATTTCATGGGTCGCCATAATAGTTGATTACATGGGTCAGCATGGGTCGCCATAAAGTTGATTACATGGGTCAACATGGGTCGCCATAATAGTTGATTACATGGGTCAATGTGAGCCATACTCAGGTATCGTAACATTAAAGTTCTCTATCAGCCCAAAGGATCCATCGGGAAAATCCGTTTACTTGTTTCTTGACTTTGGCCTTTTGACGGTATGAAGTGGTCAACATTATGCCCAGCCGCCTTTACTTCACCTAAGTGAGTCAGGTACCCATTAAAGCTGGGTGGACTCAGGTAGGTCCTGCAGACTCGTCAGGACCGAGATTCGAACTCGAGACTAGGGTTAGAAGTGAGTGCTCTACCAAATGACCACGCCGTCCCATCTTACAACAGCTGCATCCGTATAGCAGACATCAAATCTGGAAACGACCCCGAGATGACCTCTGACTTTTGACCCCTTGCAGGTGGGCAACATCCTGGCCCTGAAGATCCTCCACAGGAGCCGCATGGAGTCCCAGAGGTTGATGTTCCACAGTCTGGTGGCGGGGCTGGTGTGGAACGATCTCATCGGCATCGTCCTCACCACACCGGTCACGCTGGCGTCGTACATTAACGACATTCAGGTGTGTTACGTCTCGTGGTCACGTGACATTTGATAGTCAAAGGTCAATGCGATTTGAACTTTATGTTGTTTGTGAATTATTTAGAAATAAATTTGTTTTTAAAATGTTAAAAACCTAAGGAAGGGAGGAAGTGACTTTAGTTCAGGTATGTTTTTGAATTGTATAATAATGTATTCATGATGTATTCATGATGTATTCATGATGTGTTGATGTTTAGATGCCCGGGGGTCAGCACCTGTGCAGGTTTAACGGATTCATCATGATCTGCTTTGGGCTGACCACGCCCCTGATTGTGAGCGCCATGGCCATCGAGCGGTTTCTGTTCGTCAAGTACACCTTCTTCTACACCAAACACTGCGCTCCTGGGGCCGCGCGCCTCGTCATGCTGGTCATCTGGGGCTTCGTGCTCTTCTTCGGTCTGCTGCCCATGTTCGGCTTCGGTGAATACGTCCTGCAGTATCCAAAGACCTGGTGCTTTCTCAACTTCCGGTAAGTCTTGGTGCTTTCTCAACTTCCGGTAAGTCTTGGTGCTTGTTCAACTTCCGATAAGTCTTGGTGCTTTCTTAATTTCCGGTAAGTCTTGGTGCTTTCTCGACTTCCGGTAAGTCTTGGTGCTTTCTCAACTTCCGGTAAGTCTTGGTACTTGTTCAACTTCCGGTAAGTCTTGGTGCTTTTTCAACTTCCGGTAAGTCTTGGTGCTTGTTCAACTTCCGGTAAGTCTTGGTGCTTGTTCAACTTCCGGTAAGTCTTGGTGCTTGTTCAACTTCCGGTAAGTCTTGGTGCTTTCTCAACTTCCGGTAAGTCTTGGTGCTTGTTCAACTTCCGTTTAGTGTGGGTGTTCAACCAGCTATAACTACAGCCAATGTGTTCTCAACACCCACTTGTACGCTTCTAACGCTTTAGACATTCTCAGCTGTGTTAGCCAGGACGGGGGAAGAAGAGATGGGTCAATATTAGAGTCTAAAGAAATTGTTGAGTTTCTCTGTCTCAATGTCTAGACATGTATCTGAAAATTGTGTCCTCTCATCTATTTTTAGCTTCGATTCTTTTATTATCAGCACAGATTGACGGAAACAAAAATAGCACAACAACATACATTCGATAAAAACAATATGTAAATGTCTGACTACTAATTAAATATAGCCATGCATAAATTAATTAAACACCAGTATAATTAGAAACAGCACGTGCCGACAGTTAAACAGCTGACCTCTCGCTCACCTTTTAATGTACACGAGTGAATGGATGACGTCATTAGTTTATATCACGTGATGACGTCCAGCATGCTTGCACGCGAGGTCTGAATAAATCAGTTCAATCATTCAATGATTGTCTTGGTCATCTGTTGGCCGGTTAGTGCCAGCTGTGTGACCACGTGACCAGATGTGTGACCACGTGACCAGATGTGTGACCACATGACCAGATGTGTGACCACGTGACAGTGTAACCACTTGACCAGCTGTGTGACCACGTGACAGTGTGACCAGCTAAGCAATACAAAGACAGAAGGAGGGAGAGAGAAAGGGAGAGAAAACGAAATGCCAAGTGGAAGCAACCGATCACGTACAGTTCCGACAAACTCCCACTACCCACTACCCCTCTCCCTACCACCACCCCACATTTCCCCCACTCCCAACCATAGAACGCGTCATCCTGCTGTCATGTTATATTGAATTAGATCCAGTGGATCAGATGAGGTCGGAAATATGTGACCCATGTGGGTCAGTCCTAGACGCTCGTGTGGTATGTGTGGGTCAACGTGTGGGTCAACGTGTGGGTCAACGTGTGGGTCAACGTGTGGGTCAACGTGTGGGTCAACGTGTGGGTCAACGTGTGGGTCAGTCGTTACGACGATGACGGTGGGGATGACAGTTGACCTCTGGATGATGATTTAGCCCACAGTCTTCTGTGTTGTAGTGGGGAGAGATGGGCTAACATTGTAGTGGGGAGAGATGGGCTAACATTGTAGTGGGAAGAGATGGGCTAACATTGTAGTGGGGAGAGATGGGCTAACATTGTAGTGGGGAGAGATGGGCTAACATTGTAGTGGAGAGAGATGGGCTAACATTGTAGTGGGGAGAGATGGGCTAACATTGTAGTGGGGAGAGATGGGCTAACATTGTAGTGGGGAGAGATGGGCTAACATTGTAGTGGGGAGAGATGGGCTAACATTGTAGTGGGGAGAGATGGGCTAACATTGTAGTGGGGAGAGATGGGCTAACATTGTAGTGGGGAGAGATGGGCTAACATTGTAGTGGGGAGAGATGGGCTAACATTGTACTGGGGAGAGATGGGCTAACATTGTAGTGGGGAGAGATGGGCTAACATTGTAGTGGGGAGAGATGGGCTAACATTGTAGTGGGGAGAGATGGGCTAACATTGTAGTGGGGAGAGATGGGCTAACATTGTAGTGGGGAGAGATGGGCTAACATTGTAGTGGGGAGAGATGGGCTAACATTGTAGTGGGGAGAGATGGGCTAACATTGTAGTGGGGAGAGATGGGCTAACATTGTAGTGGGGAGAGATGGGCTAACATTGTAGTGGGGAGAGATGGGCTAACATTGTAGTGGGGAGAGATGGGCTAACATTGTAGTGGGGAGAGATGGGCTAACATTGTAGTGGGGAGAGATGGGCTAACATTGTAGTGGGGAGAGATGGGCTAACATTGTAGTGGGGAGAGATGGGCTAACATTGTAGTGGGGAGAGATGGGCTAACATTGTAGTGGGGAGAGATGGGCTAACATTGTAGTGGGGAGAGATGGGCTAACATTGTAGTGGGGAGAGATGGGCTAACATTGTAGTGGGGAGAGATGGGCTAACATTGTAGTGGGGAGAGAGATGGGCTAACATTGTAGTGGGGAGAGATGGGCTAACATTGTAGTGGGGAGAGATGGGCTAACATTGTAGTGGGGAGAGATGGGCTAACATTGTAGTGGGGAGAGATGGGCTAACATTGTAGTGGGGAGAGATGGGCTAACATTGTAGTGGGGAGAGATGGGCTAACATTGTAGTGGGGAGAGATGGGCTAACATCGTAGTGGGGAGAGATGGGCTAACATCGTAGTGGGGAGAGATGGGCTAACATCGTAGTGGGGAGAGATGGGCTAACATTGTAGTGGGGACAGATGGGCTAACATTGTAGTGGGGAGAGATGGGCTAACATTGTAGTGGGGAGAGATGGGCTAACATCGTAGTGGAGAGAGATGGGCTAACATTGTAGTGGGGAGAGATGGGCTAACATTGTAGTGGGGAGAGATGGGCTAACATTGTAGTGGGGAGAGATGGGCTAACATTGTAGTGGGGAGAGATGGGCTAACATTGTAGTGGGGAGAGATGGGCTAACATTGTAGTGGAGAGAGATGGGCTAACATTGTAGTGGAGAGAGATGGGCTAACATTGTAGTGGGGAGAGATGGGCTAACATTGTAGTGGGGAGAGATGGGCTAACATTGTAGTGGAGAGAGATGGGCTAACATTGTAGTGGAGAGAGATGGGCTAACATTGTAGTGGGGAGAGATGGGCTAACATTGTAGTGGGGAGAGATGGGCTAACATTGTAGTGGTAAAACCGGGCTGTAGGCTACAACCCTGACCAGCATCCTCCCTTCCCACCCACAACTCCTCAACTGACCTTGGAATTAGCACACATCCCGACCCCCATAAGCCAACACCGACTGCAGACCACCTCCACCCCCACAGATACCCCCCCCCCTCCATGCAACCCACTGTCGTGACGAGCTGGCCAGATACATCACCCCGCCCTTTAAACGGTCACGTGATTTATGCAAATGTCTGCTGACGTCACATTATTTCTCTGCACAAACTTGGCATATTGGCACGTCCTGTACTTAGCTGCACAAACTTGACGCGAACATATAAAATCTTATTGTTACAACAAAGTTTGAGCCCCCCCCCCCCCCTTGTGTCCCCAGGACGAGCAATCCCGTGACCGCGGCCTACGGCTACCTGTACTCACTGCTGAACCTGCTGCTGGTGCTGGTGATGGTGGTGTGTAACCTGGTGGTTGTGGCCACACTGGCGCGGGTTCGAGACTACCGCAGGAAACACAGCACAGGCAGCACCAACAGCGTCATCATGGCGGACTCGGTGCTGGAGGACACGGCTAGACAGCAGGTAAACACGGCTAGACAGCAGGTAAACACGGCTAGACAGCAGGTAAACACGGCTAGACAGCAGGTAAACACGGCTAGACAGCAGGTAAACACGGCTAGACAGCAGGTAAACGCGGCTAGACAGCAGGTAAACACGGCTAGACAGCAGGTAAACGCGGCTAGACAGCAGGTAAACACGGCTAGACAGCAGGTAAACGCGGCTAGACAGCAGGTAAACACGGCTAGACAGCAGGTAAACACGGCTAGACAGCAGGTAAACACGGCTAGACGGCAGGTAAACACGGCTAGACGGCAGGTAAACACGGCTAGACAGCAGGTAAACACGGCTAGACAGCAGGTAAACACGGCTAGACAGCAGGTAAACTTTGACAGATAGCAGGTAAACTTTGACAGACGTCAGGTAAAGTTTGACAGACAGCAGGTAAACTTTGACAGACGGCAGGTAAACTTTGACAGACGTCAGGTAAACTTTGACAGACGTCAGGTAAAGTTTGACAGACAGCAGACTTTTGTTTGACTTGTGACATGTTAGCCATGACCTTTGACCTACGACCTTTGACCTAGCTGATGTGGGACCTGTATGTTGACAGGCCATGGCCAAGAGAAGAAAACAGAAAGACATCGAGCTGCAGATGATAGTCGTCATGTGCGCCATCACCACCATCTTCGCCGTCTGCTGGGCCCCGCTCATGGTGAGTACTCAATCACGTGATGCCGATCACATGATGCCGACTCATGTTAGGGGTTAGACCCCCACCACCCCCACTCTTGTGTGACTTCATAAATAAGCACAGAGAGACAATCCTAGATGTGGCCATGTTTAACTTTACCTTGACACCCCCGTGCTAGACACCCCTAAGCTAGACACCCCTATGCTAGACACCCCTATGCTAGACGCCCCTATGCTATAAACCCCTATTCTATACACCCCTTTGCTAGGCACCCCTATGCTAGACACCCCTATGACACCCTTATGCTAGACACCCCTATGCTAGACAACCCTATGCTAGACTCCCCTATGCTAGACACCCCTATGCTAGACACCCTATGCTATACACCCCTATGCTAGACACACCTATGCTATACACCCCTATGACACCCCTATGCTATACACCCCTATGACACCCCTATGCTAGACACCCCTATGCTAGACACCCCTATGACACCCCTATGCTAGACACCCCTATGACACCCCTATGCTATACACCCCTATGACACCTCTATGACACCCCTATGCTAGACACTCTTATATTGATCCACAAAGCGACACTACTGTCCCACTGACCACCGACTGAATCACACGAAGGGAAATAACCAAGTAAAATCCTTTAGGCGCCCATATCACTTTGTCCCTGGTCTAGTGTTATATATGATCGATCTTGACATTCAGCCACCCCCCCCCCACACACACACACATCGCTGGAACTGATGTCTACAATAACGCTTGACCACAGACAGGAGTGCCAGATAGATGCGGGGGCGTGCCAGAGAAAGTGGGGGCGTGCCAGAGAAAGTGGGGGCGTGCTAGAGAAAGTGGGGGCGTGCCAGAGAAAGTGGGGGCGTGCCAGAGAAAGTGGGGGCGTGCCAGAGAAAGTGGGGGCGTGCCAGAGAAAGTGGGGGCGTGCTAGAGAAAGTGGGGGGCGTGCTAGAGAAAGTGGGGGCGTGCCAGAGAAAGTGGGGGCGTGCTGGAGAAAGTGGGGGCGTGCCAGAGAAAGTGGGGGCGTGTCACATAGTTGCCTGATTAAACGAATGTTTAACTATCGTTTAATTTGACAACTGGATAGATTACACCGTTTAATTGAATAAGCCCCCCCCCGCTCCCACCACATCAAGCGGGCCAATCGTTAGCGATCTGCCATTATCTCTAAGTGGCAGCCTCCAATGTCAGCATGACCTGCCGCCTACACAGTTTGATTGGCGGATAAAAAAAACTTAGATACATTGTGAACTGTAACCCCAACCCACTTTTTCACCACGAGTGCACGCTTTAATCACCTTACCCTGACGTCAGTTGACCTTTTTTGTTCTGATGTCACTTGACCTCTCTGTCCAGGGGTAAGTTGACCTCTCTGTCCAGGGGTCAGTTGACCTCTCTGTCCAGGGGTCAGTTGACCTCTCTGTCCAGGGGTCGCATGGCCAGACGACCATGGTTGGACCAGTCGAGGACAGATAACTATGGCGTGTGATCGATCAGCTTTGGTGGACCCAATAATCCTGATCATGTTTATCGATCTAACAACTCGAGACCACAAAAAATCGATAGTTGGCTTTAGTCACGTGGTTCGTGGTGACATAGTAGCTGTCTTTTGTCAGTCTGACAAAACTGGTTGGACGGGTCACGGCAGTCTGACAAAACTGGTTGGACGGGTCACGTCAGTCTGACAAAACTGGTTGGACGGGTCACGTCAGTCTGACAAAACTGGTTGGACGGGTCACGTCAGTCTGACAAAACTGGTTGGACGGGTCACGTCAGTCTGACAAAACTGGTTGGACGGGTCACGTCAGTCTGACAAAACTGGTTGGACGGGTCACGTCAGTCTGACAAAACTGGTTGGACGGGTCACGTCAGTCTGACAAAACTGGTTGGACGGGTCACGTCAGTCTGACAAAACTGGTTGGACGGGTCACGTCAGTCTGACAAAACTGGTTGGACGGGTCACGTCAGTCTGACAAAACTGGTTGGACGGGTCACGTCAGTCTGACAAAACTGGTTGGACGGGTCACGTCAGTCTGACAAAACTGGTTGGACATGTCACGTCAGTCTGACAAATAAGAGCGGTGTTTGGGGCTACAGGTACCCCATCACACCCATCCTGAGGGCTACAGGTACCCCATCACACCCATCCTACAGGTACCCCATCACACCCATCCTACAGGTACCCCATCACACCCATCCTACAGGTACCCCATCACACCAATCCTACAGGTACCCCATCACACCAATCCTACAGGTACCCCATCACATCCATCCTGAGGGCTACAGGTACCCCATCACATCCATCCTGAGGGCTACAGGTACCCCATCACACCCATCCTGAGGGCTACAGGTACCCCATCCCATCCATCCTACAGGTACCCCATCACACCCATCCTACAGGTACCCCATCACACCCATCCTACAGGTACCCCATCACATCCATCCTACAGGTACCCCATCACACCAATCCTACAGGTACCCCATCACACCAATCCTACAGGTACCCCATCACACCCATCCTACAGGTACCCCATCACACCAATCCTACAGGTACCTCATCACACCCATCCTACAGGTACCCCATCACACCCATCCTGAGGGCTACAGGTACCCCATCACACCCATCCTACAGGTACCCCATCACACCCATCCTACAGGTACCCCATCACACCCATCCTACAGGTACCCCATCACACCAATCCTACAGGTACCTCATCACACCCATCCTACAGGTACCCCATCACACCCATCCTACAGGTACCCCATCACACCCATCCTACAGGTACCCCATCACACCAATCCTACAGGTACCTCATCACACCCATCCTACAGGTACCCCATCCCATCCATCCTACAGGTACCCCATCACACCCATCCTACAGGTACCCCATCACACCCATCATACAGGTACCCCATCACACCCATCATACAGGTACCCCATCACACCCATCATACAGGTACCCCATCACACCCATCCTACAGGTACCCCATCACACCCATCCTGAGGGCTACAGGTACCCCATCACACCCATCCTGAGGGCTACAGGTACCCCAACGCCACCATCTGCTAACAACAAAATATGCCGTGTATAACTGACATGTAAACATGTAAATGGTGTCATACATAAACATGAGATGTGGCCATGACATTTACATAATGTCAGGTCAGCATTTGCATAATGTCAGGTCAGCTGGGGGGGGGGGGCGCTAGTGAGGGTCTGGCTTGGGTTAGGATCCGATTGAGTGGGTAAACTAAAGAGACAGGTCGGACGATGTCAATGTTGGAGGTCAAGGGAGATTACCTCCATGGTTCCCACCCCCCCCCCTTCCACCCCCTGATTACCTTGTCGTGTCCACATTTTGTCGTATTTTGTCGTCTGGTGTCTTCTTCTGACGTCACCTACAACCGTGTGAGCTAATTTAAAATATCGATTATTGAGTATCGATGATTGAGTATCGATTGATTAGAACAATTTGTATCGATCGGAGTTTTAGAGATTTGTTGGTGAGATAACATCCTCCCACACTGGTCGTGTCCTTATCTCTTCCACTCGACTGATTCTCTACCTTTTGTTCGATTGTTTCCATTTAAAAATGTTTTTTTTTTTATCTTGCTGAGCAGTGTTGGGAGGTAAATGTGACGTCACGTGATTTCTGCTATGACTTGAGGCTAATTGTGAACTATTTTCTCTTTATTACCGCCCTTATCTATTCATTACCTCCCCTTATTTGATGATAGCAATCTCCGCAGGTGATGATGCGGTGAGAATAGAATATGTAGCGTCCTCTCCCTTTGTCTCAGTCCCCGCGTTAGCTCCCATGGTTTGAATGTTTGAGGTTAGCTCCCTTAATGTCTGCTGGCGATAGCTCCCCTTGCTGCGATAGCTCCCCTTGTTGCGATTACTCCCCTTGTTGCGATTACTCCCCTTGTTAAATACGGAGCACACTAAATGGTGCGAGGTATTTTCACGCCTGACGTATCGGGAAGATATTGCAGGGGAAACAACTGGTGCGATAATGAAGGATAGGAAACTCTTGAAGGCTTGAAGGGGGAACAAATTGTGCGAATATGAAGGGGAGGTTACCCAGACTCGAGGGGGAACAACTGGTGCAGAAAAGGGGAGGTTACCCAGACAATTGTATCCACTAGATTGGCCCATGGTACCTGTACAAGTCTAACTACCCAGTCACGTGACTCGACGCAATCTTAAAACATCGTGATGTTAGACGTGGTGTCTGACGTGATGTCAGATGATGTCGTGATGTATTGCAGCATGTTGCTGGACATAAAGATGTCATCTCTCCACAGATCCACATAGCCATGTCATCTCTCCACAGATCCACATAGCCATGTCATCTATCCACAGATCCACATAGCCATGTCATCTATCCACAGATCCACATAGCCATGTCATCTCTCCACAGATCCATATAGCCGTGTCATCTCTCCACAGATCCACATAGCCATGTCATCTCTCCACAGATCCATATAGCCATGTCATCTATCCACAGATCCATATAGCCGTGTCATCTCTCCACAGATCCACATAGCCATGTCATCTATCCACAGATCCACATAGCCATGTCATCTATCCACAGATCCACATAGCCATGTCATCTATCCACAGATCCATATAGCCGTGTCATCTCTCCACAGATCCATATAGCCGTGTCATCTCTCCACAGATCCACATAGCCATGTCATCTATCCACAGATCCATATAGCCGTGTCATCTCTCCACAGATCCACATAGCCATGTCATCTATCCACAGATCCACATAGCCATGTCATCTATCCACAGATCCATATAGCCGTGTCATCTATCCACAGATCCATATAGCCGTGTCATCTATCCACAGATCCATATAGCCGTGTCATCTATCCACAGATCCATATAGCCGTGTCATCTATCCACAGATCCACATAGCCATGTCATCTCTCCACAGATCCACATAGCCATGTCATCTCTCCACAGATCCATATAGCCGTGTCATCTCTCCACAGATCCACATAGCCATGTCATCTCTCCACAGATCCACATAGCCATGTCATCTCTCCACAGATCCACATAGCCATGTCATCTATCCACAGATCCACATAGCCATGTCATCTATCCACAGATCCATATAGCCGTGTCATCTATCCACAGATCCATATAGCCGTGTCATCTATCCACAGATCCATATAGCCGTGTCATCTATCCACAGATCCATATAGCCGTGTCATCTATCCACAGATCCACATAGCCATGTCATCTCTCCACAGATCCACATAGCCATGTCATCTCTCCACAGATCCACATAGCCATGTCATCTATCCACAGATCCACATAGCCATGTCATCTCTCCACAGATCCACATAGCCATGTCATCTCTCCACAGATCCACATAGCCATGTCATCTCTCCACAGATCCACATAGCCATGTCATCTATCCACAGATCCACATAGCCATGTCATCTCTCCACAGATCCACATAGCCATGTCATCTATCCACAGATCCATATAGCCGTGTCATCTCTCCACAGATCCATATAGCCGTGTCATCTCTCCACAGATCCACATAGCCATGTCATCTATCCACAGATCCATATAGCCGTGTCATCTCTCCACAGATCCACATAGCCGTGACTCTAGCTGTGGGCAACACGAACGACGTGTTTGGGCTGGTAGCCGTGCGGCTGGCCAGCTTGAACCAGACCTTGAACCCGTGGCTCTACGTCATCCTCCGGCGGGCCCTCATCATCCGGGTCAAGAGGTACTGCTGCCGCTGGAGGAGGTGTTGTAGGAGGAGGCAGACACTCAGGTGGGTCATAGGTCATGTGGGTCATAGGTCATGTGGGTCGTCAGGGTCGGGAGGTGGGTCATGTGGGTCGTCAGGGTCGGGTAGGTGGGTCATGTGGGTTGTCAGGGTCGGGTAGGTGGATCACAGGTCATGTGGGTCGTCAGGGTCGTCAGGGTCGGGAGGTGGGTCATGTGGGTCGTCAGGGTCGGGTAGGTGGGTCATAGGTCATGTGGGTCGTCAGGGTCGGGTAGGTGGATCACAGGTCATGTGGGTCGTCAGGGTCGGGTAGGTGGGTCATAGGTCATGTGGGTCGTCAGGGTCGGGTAGGTGGGTCATAGGTCATGTGGGTCGTCAGGGTCGGGAGGTGGGTCATAGGTCATGTGGGTCGTCAGGGTCGGGTAGGTGGGTCACAGGTCATGTGGGTCGTCAGGGTCGGGTAGGTGGGTCATAGGCAAAATAGGCGTGTGTGTGGTGGGTCATAGGCAACAGAGGCGTGTGTGTGGTGGGTCATAGGCAACAGAGGCGTGTGTGTGGTGGGTCATAGGCAACAGAGGCGTGTGTGTGGTGGGTCATAGGCAACAGAGGCGTGTGTGTGGTGGGTCATAGGCAACATAGGCGTGTGTGTGCTACGCATTTTGTGTGCGCGGTGTTCTAAAAGTCTAAGGATAAATATATTTTACAAAATGACTGCGCGGCAGGTTCAAACTACTGCGCGGCCGCGCAACCGCGCAGCTTAGTGGGAACACTGGTCATAGGTCATGTGGGTCAGCCGGGTCAGGGCCGATTCGGGTTCGTGGGTCCGCTGAGTCTATTGTGAGGTGGGTTAGTGTTTTACGGGGTCAGTGTTGATGTGATATAACGGTATACATTAATTACATCCCGCTTACCACGAGACATTAATTACATCCCGCTTACCACGAGACATTAATTACATCCCGCTTACCACGAGACATTAATTACATCCCGCTTACCACGAGACATTAATTACACCCCGCTTACCACGAGACATTAATTACACCCCGCTTACCACGAGACATTAATTACACCCCGCTTACCACGAGACATTAATTACACCCCGCTTACCACGAGACATTAATAACACCCCGCTTACCACAAGACATTAATTACACCCCGCTTACCACGAGACATTAATTACATACCGCTTACCACGAGACATTAATTACATCCCGCTTACCACGAGACATTAATTACACCCCGCTTACCACGAGACATTAATTACACCCCGCTTACCACGAGACATTAATTACATCCCGCTTACCACGAGACATTAATTACATCCCGCTTACCACGAGACATTAATTACACCCCGCTTACCACGAGACATTAATTACACCCCGCTTACCACGAGACATTAATTACACCCCGCTTACCACGAGACATTAATTACATCCCGCTTACCACGAGACATTAATTACATCCCGCTTACCACGAGACATTAATTACATCCCGCTTACCACGAGACATTAATTACATCCCGCTTACCACGAGACATTAATTACATCCCGCTTACCACGAGACATTAATTACACCCCGCCTACCACGAGAATTACATCCCGCTTACCACGAGACATTAATTACATCCCGCTTACCACGAGACATTAATTACACCCCGCCTACCACGAGAATTACATCCCGCTTACCACGAGACATTAATTACACCCCGCCTACCACGAGAATTACATCCCGCTTACCACGAGACATTAATTACACCCCGCTTACCACGAGACATTAATTACATCCCGCTTACCACGAGACATTAATTACATCCCGCTTACCACGAGACATTAATTACATCCCGCTTACCACGAGACATTAATTACATCCCGCTTACCACGAGACATTAATTACATCCCGCTTACCACGAGACATTAATTACATCCCGCTTACCACGAGACATTAATTACACCCCGCCTACCTAGAAAAGCTATCGGGGGACTAAAACTCTGCATAATTTATCTAATCACGTGACTAATTGTGTGCCATGATCACGTGTTCCCGTGTGATGAAATATTTGTTAATACAACACCTCGCGTCTGACTCAATAGTTCCAGTATCAATGTCGTCTGCCATCTCTCGGGACAGCAGCCGTTGGTCGTTAGGGAGCGGTTGCTTGGTAACCGTAAACATGAACCGGCAGGAAGACAATGGCTATCACGTGAGACCATTAGCGTGTCACATGACCAATGGTCTGGTTCGGTCGAGGTGTTTTACCGTCTGTCATCGTTATTTGTCGGTCACTGGCGTGGGTGGGCTTTTGACATTGGGGGTGGGGGGAGGGGGGGTGGAAGGGCGGGAATGGTATTCTCAGTTAACGTTTTTACAAATATTATCATAAACCAAACCCCTCAACCTAACCCAACCTAATTGAACTTATGTTTAACCCACGTTTAACCCATGTTTAACCCGTGTTTAACCCGTGTTTAACCCGTGTTGAACCCATGTTTAACCCACGTTTCACCTGTCCACCCTCCAGCACCGTCCCCGTCGGACGACGCCATCAGTACGTGCACGTGAGGAACCAGCTGTGTCACCGGAACAACTTTGTGGGCGGTGACGTGGACGAGTCGTTAACTGACAGGTGAGTCACTGTAGGTCACTGACAGCTGAGATTTTATCATCGGATAGACAGACATCACCAAAATAAATCCCTCCCCCAAGACGAGACACACGCCCACCTCCCCCCCCCCCCACCTCCCATCATCACCCCCACGAAGCGCATTCGTTAGAAAAAAAAAACTATGTAAAACTTGTCCCTCTGTCCCCAGCATGAGGAAGTCCATCCAACTGGCCATCCCAGCCGCCATGTCCCTGCCTGACGTCATGATGGTCAACACTGGCCGCAGAGATCTGGACATGCTGCCCGACGTGGCCAGGGCCCAGTCCTACGGCGGCAGGGTCTCACACAGTCACAGCGTCGGCAACGTCGGCAATGTCAAGGCCATGTGCCACGAATGTTTCTTGGAGCGGTGTGGGCACCAGGAGGGCGAGATGACGCTCCTGAGCGAGAGGGACGACATCCCGCCGTGTCCGGCTAACTCCAGCGCCGAGCACAGCCAACTTGTCTTTGGCAACGGACGAATCGCCTTCACGCAGGATGAGCCGTCTGTGAACTACCTGCACAAGTTTTACCAGACCCGTCCGCACAGTGGCCCGCAAGGTAAGCCCACCAACAGCCGCACCCCTGGGCTTAAAGATGGCGCCGCCCAAACCAAACCCCCGCCCGGGGCCTGTGAACACAGCGCGGGGGTGGTCAGGAAAATGTCCAAGAAAGATTTCGAGCTCAGCTCATCCCGTGACACGTCACATCCTGTCTACGTCTGGTCACGTGACTCCCGCCTGTCCCAGCACATGCACAAGCCTCGAGGTCCGATCAAGTCCAGCGCGAGCGTCAGGTCGGCCTCTGGCGGGAAGTCGGGGCTGCAGACCAGCAGGTCAGCAGACGGCGTCACGCAGGGCCTGGGCTCGCCCGACACTCGCAGACGTGCCGAAAGTTCAAGGTCAGCTCACAATGACGTGGAGCACGCCAACGGTTTCCTTGACGACAGCCGGGACTACGATGACGTCTTTGACGACACACTCGATGACACACGAAGGGACACAACCACAGACGGCTTTTCCAGCATTCGCACTGACTCCACGTGCTTGAACTTTTCAGAGGCCACGGCCTTGACACCGGGGCACGGTCGTCTCCCGTTGGTCAACAAGTTGGAGGTCATCCATGATTCTCTAGAATGTTCCATACCAAACAACTCAGACCATTTACTAGCCACTGACGGCCAACTCAACTCTAGCAGGGCGGCAACACAGGTGGCCACACAAGGGGCGGCCACTTATCTGGCCACAAACAGCACTTTTGATTTCCAGTCCCCAAATGGCCTTGACCTTTACAAAAATGGCGGCTACGAAGGGTCAGAGAGCAGCGAATCAGCTGACGAGGACGAGGGCTCGTCTGGCGTGTTTAGCGCCGAGTCTCCAGTCAGGACCAGCAGAGATCTGGGCGCCAGGGCCAAGTGGCTCAGGAAGAAGGAGTCGCAGTCTGACGTCACACACGAGGAGCGGCCCACGGTCAAGTCAGTTAATTTCTCTTCTCTGTTGGTTTTTATTTGAAAGGTTTATCAAGACTTTTTGCCGATCGTTAGCCCCTCCATTCCCACCCCTCTCCCCTCCCCATTTAAAAAAAAAACTTCCCTAAGTGGGACGGAGTGGTAGATAGCTGGACTGCTATCCCGTAAGGCTCGAGTTCGAATCCGCGTTCAAGTCAGTAGACCGTCCCTGAGTCCACCCAACTGATGGGTACCTAACTCACGTTAGGGAAAGTAAAGGCGGCTGGGCATAGTGCTGACCACACTATCTCTTCATATACCGAGGTCACAGAAACAAGTGAACTCTTCTTTACTTGCCATATAGACCGTCAGGTTTGAAAGGGAACTTTTACTTTTTCCATAAGGGGATATAACCAAGGTAGGATTATTTATCGATTATTAACAGAGTAGCTTCCCTTGGTATGTAAAAAACGCGTTGAAAATATTCATTAAGCCGGGAATTCTTATATTCATTTGTCATAAAAAATTAATTGTGTATAATAAATTCCAAAATGTTTTTATAGTTAAAAAAAACTGCTTAAGTTCAGTTTAAAAAAAAAAAATATCTATACAATTAATAAGTGCTCCCTCCTTGTCTCATCTTTCCCCTTTATAAAATTGTATTGAATTAGATTATCTGAATAAAAAAATTTAAATTTATAAAAAACCCTTAAAAATTCTTTGTTAAATAGTTGTTTTTTTGTTGTTGTTGTTTTTTACAGGCAAAACGCAAGACGGGCCAAGTCCAATAACTGATAAAATTAAAATAACTTTGTGAAGCGACGGTTGTTTCCCCTGCTACGCTCAAAATTTGGCCGCACTGTCTGTGTGGCGCACCACAAGCTGCTTCAGGATCGTGAATCTCGTACGATTACGTCACCACGAGAGTTGGACGTGGTGTAGCTGTGATGCCTTTGATGTGCTCTCTGGGATAAAATCAATCACTCGATCGACGACAGAGCCACGTCTGGAGCCTATTGAGCATGTTGGCCACATAAGATCGGCCATTTTTCAGTGTCAATTCTTTCAGAAATGTCAACAGATTTTTTTGTATTAGACAGACATTGTCAGCTGTCGCCTACAATAACTGAATTGTGAATAATCAATTATGGCTTTATTTTAATGATTGTGTTATCTATGTGTTATATAATACTATGTCGAGATGCCTTGTAATTAAAGCCTTCTGATTTGGTTGTCGACCTTTGTTTGGTTTGGTCAACTTTTTTTTTGGACCACGTCCCGTGGGTACGTTGGTTGGACCAAACGTCCCATGGGTACAGGCGGGTTGGACCATAAGTCCCATGGGTACAGGCGGGTTGGACCATAAGTCCCATGGGTACAGGCTGGTTGGACCATAAGTCCCATGGGTACAGGCGGGTTGGACCATAAGTCCCATGGGTACAGGCGGGTTGGACCATAAGTCCCATGGGTACAGGTGGGTTGGACCATAAGTCCCATGGGTACAGGCTGGTTGGACCATAAGTCCCATGGGTACAGGCTGGTTGGACCATAAGTCCCATGGGTACAGGCGGGTTGGACCATAAGTCCCATGGGTACAGGTGGGTTGGACCATAAGTCCCATGGGTACAGGCTGGTTGGACCATAAGTTCCATGGGTACAGGCTGGTTGGACCATGGGTACAGGCGGGTTGGACCATGTACCATGGGTACAGGCGGGTTGGACCATGGGTACATGCGGGTTGGACCATAGGTACAGGCGGGTTGGACCATAAGTCCCATGGGTACAGGCTGGTTGGACCATGGGTACAGGCGGGTTGGACCATGTACCATGGGTACAGGTGGGTTGGACCATAAGTCCCATGGGTACAGGCGGGTTGGACCATGGGTACATGCGGGTTGGACCATAGGTACAGGCGGGTTGGACCATAAGTCCCATGGGTACAGGCTGGTTGGACCATGGGTACAGGCGGGTTGGACCATGTACCATGGGTACAGGTGGGTTGGACCATAAGTCCCATGGGTACAGGCGGGTTGGACCATAAGTCCCATGGGTACAGGCTGGTTGGACCATGGGTACATGCGGGTTGGACCTTAGGTACAGGCGGGTTGGACCATTGAATAAAAAGTTGATAAAATGCACACACAAATCCAAAAATCACAGAATTTTCAGCGGGACAACTCCTAGGCGTCTTAAAATTATGAATATATTTCATGGTTACCTCCCTTGTGTTTACATAGTACCACTAGAAGGAAGTTAGCACTGCTTGAGAGACTGGTGGTGTCAAGTTGTGTTTAGTGCTTCAACTAGGGCCGGATACACGAGTACTCAACCGGTTTTCCGGCTCGACAAGTACTCATTTGTGCCTCTACAAATGTCTTTGTTTAAACTATGAGTGTATGTGTAATGACAGAGAAAAGGGTTTGATCAAAAATTCCGGATTCGTTTGGCCGGGATTTGTTTATCCCGATTTCTAGATCCTGAAACTTTTGATCCCATCTCTCCCCCACACAGCCATCATGTGTGGGTGGGTTCCTAGCTACCGATGGCTGATGTGTTGCCTAGCTACCGATGGCTGATGTGTTGCCTAGCTACCGATGGCTGATGTGTTGCCTAGCTACTAATGGCTGATGTGTTGCCTAGCTAATGATGGTTGATGTGTTGCCTAGCTAGTGATGGCTGATGTGTTGCCTAGCTACTGATGGCTGATGTGTTGCCTAGCTACTAATGGCTGATGTGTTGCCTAGCTAATGATGGTTGATGTGTTGCCTAGCTAGTGATGGCTGATGTGTTGCCTAGCTACTGATGGCTGATGTGTTGCCTAGCTACCGATGGCTGATGTGTTGCCTAGCTACCGATGGCTGATGTGTTGCCTAGCTAGTGATGGTTGATGTGTTGCCTAGCTAGTGATGGCTGATGTGTTGCCTAGCTACTGATGGCTGATGTGTTGCCTAGCTACTAATGGCTGATGTGTTGCCTAGCTAATGATGGTTGATGTGTTGCCTAGCTAGTGATGGCTGATGTGTTGCCTAGCTACTGATGGCTGATGTGTTGCCTAGCTACCGATGGCTGATGTGTTGCCTAGCTACCGATGGCTGATGTGTTGCCTAGCTACCGATGGCTGATGTGTTGCCTAGCTACCGATGGCTGATGTGTTGCCTAGCTACTGATGGCTGATGTGTTGCCTAAATACTGATGACTGATGTGTTGCCTAGCTAGTGATGGCTGATGTGTTGCCTAGCTACCGATGGCTGATGTGTTGCCTAGCTAGTGATGGCTGATGTGTTGCCTAGCTAGTGATGGCTGATGTGTTGCCTAGCTACCGATGGCTGATGTGTTGCCTAGCTAGTGATGACTGATGTGTTGCCTAGCTAGTGATGGCTGATGTGTTGCCTAGCTAGTGATGGCTGATGTGTTGCCTAGCTAGTGATGGCTGATGTGTTGCCTAGCTAGTGATGGCTGATGTGTTGCCTAGCTACTGATGGCTGATGTGTTGCCTAGCTACCGATGGCTGATGTGTTGCCTAGCTACCGATGGCTGATGTGTTGCCTAGCTACCGATGGCTGATGTGTTGCCTAGCTACCGATGGCTGATGTGTTGCCTAGCTACTGATGGCTGATGTGTTGCCTAAATACTGATGACTGATGTGTTGCCTAGCTAGTGATGGCTGATGTGTTGCCTAGCTACCGATGGCTGATGTGTTGCCTAGCTAGTGATGGCTGATGTGTTGCCTAGCTAGTGATGGCTGATGTGTTGCCTAGCTACCGATGGCTGATGTGTTGCCTAGCTAGTGATGACTGATGTGTTGCCTAGCTAGTGATGGCTGATGTGTTGCCTAGCTAGTGATGGCTGATGTGTTGCCTAGCTAGTGATGACTGATGTGTTGCCTAGCTAGTGATGGTTGATGTGTTGCCTAGCTAGTGATGACTGATGTGTTGCCTAGCTAGTGATGGCTGATGTGTTGCCTAGCTAGTGATGGCTGATGTGTTGCCTAGCTACTGGTGGTTGATGTGTTGCCTAGCTACTGATGGCTGATGTGTTGCCTAGCTACTGATGGCTGATGTGTTGCCTAGCTACTGGTGGTTGATGTGTTGCCTAGCTACTAATGGCTGATGTGTTGCCTAGCTACTGAGTTTTAGCAGAAGTGTTGCCGTCAGAGTTGGATCTACATCAAAAAACGACACCCGATCCTGAGGTTAATTAATTACTCAATTAATCAAACGTTTGCTCCAGCTATGTCCATTGGCTGCAGCACCTCACGTGACCTCTACGCTGGGATAGGCAGGGGAGGGAACTGGTCCTAGCCTGGCTGGTCTGAATGGTGGGAAGAGTTACCTCCACCTGATGGTCAATCCCTAGCCTGTCCCTTGATTGCTTTATTTGAAACATTTCGTCTTAGAGCGGTGAGAACTAATGAGTTACTAATTGCTCCATGTTCATTCAAGTTTATGTTGGTGTAAGGGTGTTAAGTGAAAGTAACCGAGCCGGATTAGTCATAATCTAAATAATCAGGTTGACCTAGATATACGCCTAACTAACCAGGTTTACAGTGATATATTTTATAAACCTAACTATGTAGGTGAATCCTTTTTTTTCTGACGTTATCGCGTGGCCATCCGGGACAATTAAGCTCGTAATTAAAGTCCTGGAAGATTAAACACTTAATGAATCACGTGGTACACAGACGGCCATCTCGACAGTTGAAACACTGGATGGTCTAGTTGGTTGCTGTAGTGACGTATGTGTCGTAACAGATGGATGACATCACACAATGACATTTGGATGGATGACATCACACAATGACATTTGGATGGATGACATCACACAATGGCATTTGGATGGATGACATCACACAATGACATTTGGATGGATGACATCACACAATGACATTTAGATGAATGACAGCACACAATGACATTTGGATAACATATGTCTCACCACTAGACACATGTCTCACCACTAGAAACAGCATGTATCACCACTAGACCACGTGCCTCACCACCGGACCATGTCTCACCACTACTACAGCATGTCTCACCACCACTACAACAGCATGTCTCACCACCACTACAACAGCATGTCTCACCACCACTACAACAGCATGTCTCACCACCACTACAACAGCATGTCTCACCACCACTACAACAGCATGTCTCACCACCACTACAACAGCAAGTCTCACCACCACTACTACAGCATGTCTCACCACCACTACAACAGCATGTCACACCACCACTACTACAGCATGTCTCACCACCACTACAACAGCATGTCTCACCACCACTACAACAGCATGTCTCACCACCACTACAACAGCATGTCTCACCACCACTACAACAGCATGTCTCACCACCACTACAACAGCATGTCTCACCACCACTACAACAGCATCTCTCACCACCACTACAACAGCATGTCTCAACACTACAACAGCATCTGCTCACTAAACAACAGGTTGTCTTTTGACCAGAAAGTTCTGAGATAATTTTCAAACTACCCAATTTGTCCTCATTAAAACACGTCAAGATCTAAAGCCCGGTGTCCCGGGTATTGGGGTGGTGTGGGGGTGAGAACACCTGTCCACAATAGAATCGTCTGTCCAGGTTTTTGCTGTTTGTAAACAAGCCAGTGAACGTCTACTTTGAGATCTCAGGACGGCCGTCTGCTAAAGCCGACCTCACACCTGACGACACCACCACTTTTATAGAGCACCACCACTTTTATAAAACATAACCACTTTTATAAAACACCACCACTTTTATAAAGCACCACCACTTTTATAAAGCACCACCACTTTTATAAATGTGTCAGCTCTATCATATCTAAGTCGTGGCGCGGAGGTAAGGCGCCATCTCGAGTGAACATTGTTAGATGTAAACAAAATTCAGTCGAGTCGTTAACAATGTTAGATGTAAACAAAATTCAGTCGAGTCGTTAACAATGTTAGATGTAAACAAAATTCAGTCGAGTCGTTAACAATGTTAGATGTAAACAAAATTCAGTCGAGTCGTTAACAATGTTAGATGTAAACAAAATTCAGTCGAGTCGTTAACAATGTTAGATGTAAACAAAATTCAGTCGAGTCGTTAACAATGTTAGATGTAAACAAAATTCAGTCGAGTCGTTAACAATGTTAGATGTAAACAAAATTCAGTCGAGTCGTTAACAATGTTAGATGTAAACAAAATTCAGTCGAGTCGTTAACAATGTTAGATGTAAACAAAATTCAGTCGAGTCGT